ATTTACTTACCATAAATGCTATCCTTTTAAGATGTATAATTTTTATGTGATTTTTGCAGTATATCTTTGGCCAGTTGTGCGGAACGATTAACCGGACGCGACCGCTGGGTTTTGTTTGTCTGATTTTTTGTTTGCGGTTGTTTTGTTGAGACAGAGCCCTCGCCTCCGTTGCCGCAGGCCGCTGGAGTGGCAGTGGCGTGATCTCGGCTCATCTGCACAGCTCCGCCCTCCCCGGGTTCACGCCCATTTCTCCGTGCCCTCAGCCCCCGAGGTAGCTGGACACGGGCGGCCGCTAGCCACCACGCCCTGCTAATTTTTTGTATTTTTAGTGGAGACGGGGTTTCACCGTGTTAGCCAGAATGATTTCGATCTCCTGACCTTGTGATCCGCCCACCTCAGCCTCCCAAAGTGCTGGGATTACAGGCGTAAGCCACCGTGCCCGGCCACCACGACTTGTTTTTAGAACATTTTCCTCACCCCAGAAAGAAACCCTGTACCCATTAGCAGTTCTTCCCCATTTTCTCCCCTCCTCCAAGCCCTGAGAGCCACTCTTCTGCTTTCTGTCTCTATGGATTGCCTATGGTGGACGTTTCACATAAATGGAATCTTACAATATGTGGCCTTTTGTGAGTGGCCTCTTTCACTTAGCATAACGTTTTCAAAACTTATCCATGTTGTAGCTGGATCAGAACTTCATTTTTATGGCTGAATACTATTACATTGTGTAGATATACCACTTTTTTTTTTTTTTTGAGACAGGTTCTCACTCAGTCACTCAGGCTGGAGTACAGTGGCATGATCAGACCTCACCGCAGCCTTGATTTCCTGGGCTGAAACGGTCTTCCTGATTCAGCCTCCCAAGTAGCTGGGACTACAGGCTCAGGCCACCATGCCCAGCTATTTTTTTTTTAATTTTAGTGGAGACTAGCTCTCACTATGTTGCCCAGGCTGATCTCTAACTCCTGAGCTCAAGCCATTCTCCTGCCTTGGCCTCCCAAAGTGCTGGGATTATAGGCGTGAGCCACCACGCCCGGCCCACATTTTTGCTTATCCATTCTCAGTTGATGGACATTTGGATTGTTTCTACTTTTTGGCTGTTATGAATAATGCTGCTGTGAACGTTCCTGTACATGTTTTTGTATGGATCTATGTTCGTATTTCTCTTGGGTGTTCACCTACGAGTGGAACTGCGGGGTCATGTGGTAACTCTATATTTCACATTCTGAGGAACTGCGAGACTTTTCCAAACGGCTGTACCATTTAACGTTCCCAACAGCAATGTATGAAGATTCATTTTTTTTTGAGACGGAGTCTCGCTCTGTCGCCCAGGCTGGAGTGCAGTGGCGCGATCTCGGCTCACTGCGGGCTCCGCCTCCCAAGTTCACGCCATTGTCCTGCCTCAGCCTTCCAAGTAGCTGGGACTACAGGCGCCCACAACCTCGCCCGGCTAGGCTAGTTTTTTGTATTTTTAGTAGAGACGGGGTTTCACCGTGTTAGCCAGGATGGTCTCGATCTCCTGACCTCGTGATCCGCCCGTCTCGGCCTCCCAAAGTGCTGGGATTACAGGCTTGAGCCACCGCGCCCGGCCCAGCAATGTATGAAGATTCTAAATTCTCTACATCCTCCTCATGTTGTTTTCTGTGTTTTCGACTTTAGCCATCTTAATGAATCCCTGTAATTGTGCTAGTGAGCTAATACAGCTCTTACTAAGGCTAAACACCATTCTAAGCATAATTTCATGCTCGACACCCCTGTGAGGTTGATATTTTTATTATCCCCATTTTACAGCTGAGGAAACTGAGGTACAGATTAAGTAAGTAACTTGTTTGGTCCCACATCTAATACTTGTTAGAGCCCCAGGATTCAAATACAAGGAATTTAATTCTGGCGTCTGTGCTCTTTTTTTTTTTTTTTTTTTTGGAGATGGAGTTTCGCTTTTACTGGCCAGGCTGGAGTGCAATGGTGCAATCTCAGCTCACCACAACCTCTGCCTCCCAAGTTCAAGTGATTCTCCTGCCTCAGCCTTCTGAATAGCTGGGATTACAGGCATGCACCACTATGCCCGGCTAATTTTGTATTTTTAGTAGAGATGGGGTTTCACCATGTTGGCCAGGCTGGTCTCAAACTCCTGACCTCAGGTGACCCCACCCCCCTCGGCCTCCCAAAGTTCTGAGATTATAGGCATGACCCACCGCGCCCGGCTGAGTCTGTGCTCTTAACCACCACATTATACTGATTCTCATAGGCCACTATATTAATGTGCTTAGTGTGTATCTCTATGTGTTTTTGCAAAATCTGTATTTAATTTACATAAATGGTACTGTGTTATAGATCCCATTTCACCTCTTACTTTTTTTTTTTTTTTTGAGACAGAGTCTCACTGTAGAGTGCAGTGGTGCAATCTCAGTTCACTGAACCTCCCAAGTTCAAGCGATTCTTCTGCCTCAGCCTCCTGAGTAGCTGAGGTAATAGACGCCCGCCACCACACCTGGCTAATTTTTGTATTTTTGGTAGAGACGGGGTTTCACCATGTTGGCCAGGCTGGTCTCGGACTTCTGACTTCAACTGATCCATCCGCCTCAGCCTCCTCCCAAAGTGTTGGAATTACAGGTGTGAGCCACTATGCCCCGCCACTTTTTATTTATTTAATTCAACAAAGCTCTCTGCTTTAAAATCCATCCATGTTGCTCCACCTCACCTGCTGATCGAACCTGTGCCTGCTTTCCATGGGGGCGGCACCCACCACATTGTGCTTGTCCCCTCTCTGTGTGCAAAGGGCTCACCAGCCTTCAGGACTGGCCACTTCTGTAGCCTCTCCTTCAGTCCTTTCCTGCATCTAGTCTGGGCTCTAGAAGTGCTGACTTCCCAGTACCTCCTAGAATGGGCACCAGTATGTCATGCCTCTGTGCCTGTGTTCTTCAAGGGCCAATGGAATATCCCGGATCATCTGGTTCCAATCTCCTCATTTCACAGAACCATCCTACATTTTACAGAGGAGGAGCATAAGCTTAGAAACAATGACTTGCTCAAGGTCGTACAACCAGAATCCCACTCCTTATCTCTGGCCAGCCTCTTCTCCCTCTTCTCTTTATTCCTCCTCTGCTGCTCACTGGCCGAAGTCCCCTTTCCCTCTTTGCCCTGCTCCCGTCATTAGCTCCAAGATGGCAGGGTAGCAGAACACAGATACTCTCTGCGCTGTGTGGCACACGTGCTGTGCTTTACCCCACACAGGTTCCCTGTTCTGGAACCTGTGGTTTGCTGTGAAATTGCAGTCCTACTGCAGCCGTGATCCCTCTGTGATTGCATTCTCTCTGTCCCCACACCTGTCACAGATGAGTTTTGGACCTACCGTTCTGAGACATGCCGATGCAAGAGGCTGCCCGGAAACGCTTGGTACTGATCGTCCTCCCCTCAGCTCTGTGCTCACCACTGCTCACACTTTCTCCTTTAACCCTGCTCCCCTCCACCTCCCCACTTCATTCATTCATTCATTCGTTCATTCCTCACTCAACAACTATTTATTAATCATCTCCTCTATCTCCTAGATGACAGGAACTATGCAGCTAACCTAGAGATGACACAGAGATGAATGAGATGTGGCTGCTGTTATCAAGGAGCTCATGATTCAATGGGGAACTAACATTTAGACACATGGGCAGTTAGGGACATGCAAGAATCTTTGTAGTGCAACAAGAGAGAAGTTACAAGGCAGCACGGAAGTCAAGGCCGGTGAGCCTAGATGGCCTGGTGAGAGGAGCCTGGGCTAGCAGGTAGATGACCTAGGTGTGAACCCCCAGGCTCATCATCGCAATGGGACCTTGGGCCGGCTGTTGGAGCTCTCTGAGCCTTAGCTTCCTCCTCTGTGATATGAGGATGAGACTCTCACAGGCTGTTGGTTGGAGTGACTGAGGGAGTGTGAGTAGAGCTCTCAGCATTGGGCCAGCACATGGTGGGTGATCAGGAAACAAACGACTCTGAAAGCCCGAGTCCTGTAGGAGTTTAAGGGAGTGGAGAATGCTCTCTGCCTCATCTCCCTGCTCCCTGGACCACTGCAGTTTCCTCTCTGACCCTACTCTCTCTTTCCTGATAAGGAATTACTCTCACTTCCACCACCCAGTGTATGGAAACTGCTACACTTTCAATGACAAGAACAACTCTAACCTCTGGATGTCTTCCATGCCTGGAGTCAACAATGGTGAGCAACTCCCCGCTTGCTCCATGGCGCCCTCTGCCTCAGCCACTCCCGTGTACTTACCTTGAGCTCACCTCCTAGAACTGCTGGGAGGGGTCCCCTGTGCTCTCTCTCCCCAACAGGTGCCACATAGTCCGTTCCAGGCATGAGAGGAATCCTGTCCCAGGTCTTCCTCCTGCCTCCAGATTCCAGCCCATGGGTTGCCAGGTCCCTTTGTGGGTCTTCCTGAACTTGCTCCTCTTGCAGTGTTGGAGACTGGGCAAGGAAAGGAGAGTGGATTTCCATCTTCTAACTCTTCTCCAGGATTCCCGCCTCTGCCAACTCTGCTCTCTCTGCACCCCTAGGTCTGTCCCTGATGCTGCGCACAGAGCAGAATGACTTCATTCCCCTGCTGTCCACAGTGACTGGGGCCCGGGTAATGGTGCACGGGCAGGATGAACCTGCCTTTATGGATGATGGTGGCTTTAACTTGCGGCCTGGCGTGGAGACCTCCATCAGCATGAGGAAGGCAAGGATGCTGACTGGGAGGCCTGGAAGGAGAGCCTCAGATTGCAGAGGGGCAGGGGGGAGGCATGGGAGGCTGCGGAGAGAGAGCGTGTGGGGTGGGCCTTGAGCATGTGGAGGTCTTCAGGAGCAGGAACGAGGGGCAGAGGGGCTGGCACTGGGAAGTAAGGCCCTGCAGGGTGGACCTTGGGGGACAAGTGCTGAGAAGGCATTCAGGGCATGCTTAGGATTTCTGGGGATGCTCTGGGCCCAGTGGCCTTGAAATGAGCAGTGGGTGGGCATGAGGTGGCTGGAGGCATGTATTGAGAGGGTGAGGCTGGTAGGAGGGGCTGGCCGGTGTGAGATACAACCTGGAACTGAGGGAAGGGAGAGAATTGGGATGACATCCCACCGCTGCTGGGATGAAGTCCCTCCCGTTGCTCTTGTGTTTTTCCAAGCCTTGTAGGTCTCGCCTCTGTCAGTTTGCCCTCACCCCTCATGTCTCTCCTCTCCCTTTTTTTTTTTTTTTTTTTTTGAAGACTTTTTTTTTTTTTTTTTTTTTTGAGACGAGTCTTCGGCTGTTCACCCCCAGGTGAGTGGCAGTGGTTGCAATCTCAAGTTCACTGTAAGGCTCCGCCTTCCCGGTTT